CGGCCTCCCCCGGCATCTGCGGACACAGGAGCGGGGGTCAGCGACCATGGGACTGGGACCTCGCCCCGCAGCTCCCTCACGGGCTGCGGCGTCCCAAGGCCGCGCAAACACCGAGGGGCTCGGCTCCGGCGGGGGCACGCAGGCCTTCGGGGATCGGCCCCCTGGAACCGTGAGCTGCGAGCACCGGGACACCGCGCCGGAGCAGCGGGTGACATCCTGATAACGCTCAGGAGGGGCGACTTGCGAGAGATACCAAAGTGGCCACAAGGTAAAACAATTGATGCAGCCGTGTCTCAGCAAGCAGTAACACGGGGAGGGAAGAAACGGTCAACAAGTATTTCATCAACGTGAAAGCAACGAAATCTTAGCTTTTAAAGGGTATTTAACAGCAACAGTCCTGCAATAGGCTCTTTTTGGCCCTTGCTTGTAACTCTTAATCTAAGGATGTACTGGTGCACGTCAGGAAGAAGGCAGCCAGCCTTGCCATTGAAGAAGTCCTGTTCTGGGATGCCAGGAACTTTTGTATTAATGCAAGTTCCCAGAATAGTCAGTGACACAATAGAAAATAGCAGCTCCAAGAGACTGTGCTGTACGCATATGCTGAAAAATGATGTTAGTCTATAAAATATGTAAGGTTCATAACACCCTGCAGCCCCCATTGCCCAGTCCTCCTCCATCAAGTGTGAAATCCTATGCTCTTAACCTTACAGAACTCACTGGCCCCAGATTTTCGTTTCAAGGGGCACGACGCTTGGGCAGCTGTTTTGTCAGCCAGAAGGAGGCTGGTCTGGGGCATGCACTGTTCAACTGCAGTGTGCATACCAGCCAGCTGGGATGCCTCATGCGCTCCTTAAGTGGTAAAGCATGCTGTTGTGGAGCTGACGCAGATGTACTTTCCATTTGGAAAGTACATCCTTTTTCCTGGTGCACAAGGGAGAATTAAGTTGGAATCCTCTTATGCTCCCATCTGGTCCTGCACACCCACAGCTAAGGCAGGACCTAGTCTGCCTGACGGTACTTTGCAGGTAGCAATTCAACATTGCTGAGATCATTAGTTTTCATCATTAACTAGGAGGATGGGTGGAAATAGGAGTCTCACTTCTCCCTCACAAAGGGAATAGAATAGAATAAGATTCAAGCTGAAAATTACATTCCTAAGAGCCTAAGGCATTTGAAGACTTTTTCAGTCCCAGCAGGTAACTGATTGCAGTGCTATGACAGTTTTAAGCAATGTCATTTACTTTTTCACACTGGAACTGCAAGGGCTTTCTTACCGGCATCTCGACTCGCAGCAGATCTGAGCTTTGGCATTCCTGCTTGAAAAAGGCCTCCAAGGCCAGGTGGTCCACCACCACCGAAGCTGCTGCCGCCGCTACCACCACCACCAAAACCCCCGCCGCTGCCACCGCCACCTCCTCCGAAGCCGCCACTGCCACCTCCACCAGGTCCTTTGGGTTCTATTGGAAAAAGAAATCCCCCACATTAGGCAGAGAAGTGAGACTGATCCTGCAAAGTTATCTTTTTCACTAGAGCAGCGCTTTTAGCTGGGGAAGAATGGACAAGTTTTCAAAACACACAAGTCCTTGTTCAGGCTGGATCAACACAGCTACCATCACCACCACTATTGCACCATGGAAGAGGTGGTGCAATGAACACAGCCACTGTGTTTTATTAAGCCATCACCTTCCTTTAGTCTGCTTTGGACTGGAAAGCAGAGTAACTTGCTATGGAGAATTTGAATATGGATGTGACCTCTGAGAACATCATGTTGCCTTTGTTAGCATCTTTGTAGCTGCTTCCCATTTCTTCATACCTTTGCTCTCTTATCCTTCCCCTCCAAATCTCCATAAGCAAACCAAGAAGAAAAGAGGGCAAAGGCAAAGTCAAGGCAAGGCAAGGCGGGGGGGAAAGGAGGGGGGAAAGGGGAAGGGAAAAGGAAAGGGGAGGGGAAAGGAAAGGGGGAAAGGAAGGGGAAAGAAAGTTCTTCCTCTTGGAGGTGTCTCTGGTGATCATTTCTGGGAGTAAACCTCTTTCAATATTGATGATGTTGCAACATATCTACTTATTTAAATAAAGCCTGGTGGGGAAAGATATTTAATTTCTGATTACTTTCCTGTAGGTTCAGAAATGCAGTGACAGGATCATTAGCTGCTAATTTTTCCAACAGGCAGTAATTATTTTTTCAGCCTCCCTCTCCTCCCCCATTTTTTTTTAATGTCAATATTTCTGCTGTGACAACACTGAGATGCTAAAAGTAAAATGAAAGCATTTCCACAAGTGCAGGAAATAGCCCTATTCAGAGCATCACTACACAATGAGCAGGCCCACAGGTTGGGGTATCTGTGGAGATCAGCTCTCAGATGATAGGCTACATGGTTGAGGATCAATTGCTTAATTTCTTGGCATCTCACATTTCCACAATTTTGTGTGGGTAAACATTTTACTGACTTTAAGGTAATTAAAACCTGTGGCTGAAAAGTACTTCTAATAATCCCACCCAGAAAAAAGAAGGAAGAATGTGTTTATGGGGGAATATTTCACATCATCCTTCTCTTTTCTTAGGCATGTTAGCTCTGACTCACATGGGGCGTGAACCTCTGGAGAAATGCTGCTACTATGGTTTAGTCTTTCATCATGATTTGTTAATTCATGTAAACAAGATAATAGGCCACATAATTTTAATCCTACTGTTTACCCCTCCTTTAATCCCCTTAATGCTTTTCTCCAGCTCATTACAATAGCTAGAACATGTAACTTTGCTTTCAGAGATAGTACTCAAGATAGTACTTTTTATTCTTATTTGGTCACACTCCTTTGGGCATTTCCTTCTTCATCATCTTCCTATCACAGTCCAGCCTTTAATTGCATGGCCAGACCTGGACTGAGTTTTATCACATTTGCTCATCAGTCTGTAGAAGCGTTGTCTCTCCCTAGGCAATAAATGCTGTTCCTCTGACGTAGCAGGCCCCTCCTTGGTCCTCACTCTACCCCTGTTTCTGTTCTGTCTTCCCAATACTTTTGCTGCACTGGCTTTTCCAGCCAAGATGTACAGTGAGACACAGCAGCAGCACCTCGTCTCCATTCAGGTTAGAGGAGCTGCTGCCTTGTGCCAGGGCACCACTGGGCAGGCTGAGCAACAAAACTCAGCTAAAAAGATAACACCCCTGAGTCACTCCAGGAGTGGCAAAACTGCGTGCAGAGTGACACACAGGTGGGGCTGTGGCTCCTGGCTCTAGTTTTGCTTTAAGTGGTACTGGGGCCATTAACAAGCCAATGGTGTCATGCCAGGAGTGCCTTTATTTTTCTATTGCTTATGCAAAAGTAGAGTCTGAAATTGCACTTCATTCTCTGTGCTCTCCTCAGTCCTATGGGGGTTTTGTTTGCCTGAGCTGCTGCAGCTCCTCAACAGAGCTCCTAGTAGGGTTTGCATAGTTTTCCGATTTAAGCAAATGAGAAAATGAACTGTTTTATGAGAGTAAACAAACAAATTAACACATTTCTTAAGCAGTACTTGATTTCTCAGCTGACTTAATTCATGATGAACAGAATTTATTTTATGCATGCCAACTTCTGGCATTTTATTTTACCTGTTTCTCTCATGGCAGTTAATCCGATTACACAAAATTTTCTGCATTCAGATATGTAGAATCATTCCCACACACAGAAATTCCATCATGCAAAATCAAACTTACTGTCTAGAATCGGAGCACTTCTGTCATTAGTAACAGTCTTCTTTAGTTTTTTTCCTTTGGTAATATCAGATAATAGAGCATTTCGCCCTGCTTGTTCTGACCTGCTTAGTGATGGCTTTTCAGTATTTGCCTGCAAAATAAAATTTAAAATGAGGTGGCAAAATAAACCTCAACTTCTAGCTACAGAGTTCTGCTCAGATATGGTAGTTACTTGATACCTCAATTTCTGTTTTAACAGTATTGGAGGGGGTAACATGGCACATCTGATTTTGTGAATGATGTTACAGGTAGCTGGTTTTGTTACTGAGTTAAGGCACCAAACACTGCTGCTAATTTAAACCACACTATTCACTGGAGAGAGAACACTTTTATGTGAATTTACATTTTTTTAACTCAAAATTTAGAGTCTCTGATTTTTTAAAGCCAAGGTACGTCTGTGGCAAATTGCCATTTTGGACACTGAACAAGAACAGTTTACACACATAATTTGATTACACAAAAAGGTGGGGATTCTTGAAAGTTGTAGCAAAAACTCCTAATATACAAATTCTGGATAAATCAGAAGAAAAATGGCTATTTTAGTTTTGATAGAAATACTTTAAAATGGCAGTCACCATTTCAACAACACAGACCTCTTCAAACAGACCCAGTAAAACCTTTAGATGTATGAGGTTTGTCTCAATGGTTCTCTCTTTTCAGTTTATGTTTTAGTGACACAGTTTTTCAAGGAAGAACAAAAAACCTCCCAAAACATACACATATATGCGCGCACACACACACACACACACACACACACATATGGTTATTTCTTCTAGGAAATGGCAGTTCCTGAAAAGCTTTCTAACTTATCAGATCAGTGTTATGGAAATTTCCTGAAAAGGGGTGAGAGTTGCCATGGAGGGACCAAGCACAGAGTCTGTCTGTATTTTGTTTGTCGTGGAAAATGAGGGAACAGCTCTTCAGCCGCACAGCCCAACCTATCTGGCTAGGGTTTTGCTATGAAAGCATCTGAGTACTTTACAATGCCATTTCAAGAAGCCTTTTCTTTCCTGTCAGTGAGGTGACTGACTGAGGGCAAATATGGCACAAGCTCTATTGCATCTTAGGCTGACTTAAGTCAGGTCCAATGTCATCTCACCCATCATGCTGTGCCACCAGTGGATCCTGTGCTCTGATACCACAGGCTGGCTGAGGAAGCTATGCTGCCTAAGAGCTATCCTTATCAAATTTAAACAATAGGATTGATTTTTTTTTCCAGCTCGGGTCATATAAGTACTAGGGTAGAACAGGGGAGCAGGTGGGAGTACATGGCTGGAGGAAGACAATTCCCCTGACTTAGACAAGCTGTTGAGGAGCTGTGCCTCTCCACTCAGGACCCCTACATCAAGTCAAACCACCAGTGTGGGAGGAAGAGGAGGATGGAGTGTCAGTGTGGCTAGTGACATCCGTATGGGCACTGGGAAGGAGTGGAAGTGATGGTCCCTCTTGTAGGACCAATCATCAACTGTAAACAAAATGTCAGATTGCTTTCCCCAAATGTCATGTGTACCCTTGTCCACACCTCAGTGTCTCTGGGCATCCTGCTCAATATACATACATAGAATGGTTTGGGTTGGAAGGGACCTTAAAGATCACCTAGTTCCAACCCCCTGCCATGGGCAGGGACACCTTCCACTAGCCCAGGTTGCTCAAATCCCCGTCCAACCTGGCCTTGAACACTGCCAGGGAGGGGGCAGCCACAGCTGCTCTGGGCAACCTGTGCCAGGGCCTCACCACCCTCACAGCAAAGAATTTCTTCCTTATATCTCATCTAAATCTTCCCTCTTTCAGTTTGAAACTGTTACCCCTCATCCTATCACTGCACTCCCTGATAAAGGGTCCCTCCCCATCTTTCTTGTAGCCCCCTTTAAGTACTGGAAGGACACTATAAGATCTACCCGGAGCCTTCTCTTCTATGGTCCGAACAGCCCCAACTCTCTCAGCCTGTCCTCATCTTCGTGGCCTCCTCTGGACCCACTTGAGTAGCTCCATGTCCTTCTGATGTTGGGGGCCCCAGAGTTGGACACACCACTGCAAGTGCACGAGAGCAGAGTAGAGGGGGAGAATCCCCTCCCTCGACCTGCTGGTCACACTTCTCTTGATGCAGCCCAGGACACTTGGCTTTCTGAGCTGCAAGTGCACATTGCTGGCCCATATTCAGTTCTCCATCCACTAATGCCCTCAAGTCCTTCTCCTCAGGGCTGCTCTCAATCCACTCATTGCCCTGACTGTATTTGTGCTTGGGATTGCCCCGACCCATGTGCAGGATCTTGCACTTGGCCTTGTTGAACTTCATGAGGTTTGCACGGGCCCAACTCTCCAGCTTGTCGAGGTCCCTCTGGATGGCATCTCCCATCCCTCCAGTGTGTTGGCCACACCACACAGCTTGGTGTCACTGGGAAACTTGCTGAGGGTGAACTCAGTCTCACTGTCCACGTCACCAGCAAAGATGTTAAACAGCGCTGGCCCCAACCCTGACCTGTGAGAAATGTCACTTGCCACTGCTCTCCACCTGCACATCAAGCGACCACAACTGTCCTGAGTGTGACCATCCAGCCCATTCCTTATCCACTGAGTGGTCCATCTGTCAAACCCATGCCACTCCAATATGACAAGCAGCAGCAGAGGACAGTGTATACGGTACCTTTGCCTCCTGCAAAACTTACCAAGGCCAATGTTGGGGGTGGAGGGGGAGCTGGAGGGGGAGGCACAGGCATGGTGGAAGGCTGAGCTCTGTCTGGTCTTGCTGAGAAACCTGCACAGCAAAACATAGAAAACACACAAGTCTCAGAGATTAATAAATCTTTAATAAATAAATTTATACTCAGCTAAAAAGCATCCTTGCAGCTAACAGGTTTATCTGATACATTTTCTAAATCTAAATAATCTGTAAAAAGCACTTCATGTTTCACTGTATGGAAACCAGCTACATCCTTAAATGGAGACTCCCTACAGCATCCTCACTGCCATACAAACTCATAGACATCCAGTTTCACACACACACACACAACTGTGCTGTGGCAATGCACAAAAATGCAGTCATAAAATTGAACTCTGTTTAATCCAACAATCTTGTTCCTGTGAAAGTATTTCAGGATAATCCCACAGCTATACCATCAACCCTTACTTCAAGAAGGTACCAACTCTTTAAAATCATACTCAGAAAGAGATGCTGACTTTTTAAAGCCCTTAAATTGCTGGATGATCGCTCCTCCCCACTATTATGGGTAGAGCAGCAAAGCTCTGGAAAAGACTCATGCTTCTCCCTGCTTGATCTGAAGATTCCAAGCTCCATCATGATCTCTGAATGCACCTTCCTCCTCCTCAAGAGCAGCACACACAGTCCATGCTCTGTGTACTTTCCCAGAGGAGGAAGAGCATGCAGACAGCCTAGCCTCTCAGTTTCAGCCTGCTGTGGAGGGAAAAGCCTGGCTGCCAAAGCTCAGCCTTCCCTGGGCTTCCCTGCCAGTGACCACACTGCTGCTTTTTCCCACCACAAATAGAACTTCCAACCTAGAGCAATCTTAGGAGGGTCACACCTGAGATGTAAAACTTCATTGCAAAGAAAATATTAAATGAAAAAAAAAAAAAAAGGACAGACAAGCAATAAGGAATTTTTTTCCAGTCACAAGGGCTTTTTGTGGCATTCTGGCCCACTGCTCGCTGGAACTGTGAGTATCAGAAGCTCTGGGGCTTTTCTAATGGTGCTATAGCATTTTAGCATGTGCTCTGCTCTTGCCCGTTCACTTGAGCCAGCTGTAGAAACAGTGATTTGCCACCATTTACACAGTGCTTGCACAAGACAGGTAAAACCAGTGGGAATAGGAATAAGGGTTATTCTCCAGACAACCCCAGGCTGACAGCTGAGGTCCCCCAGGGAAGTTATTTACAAGATTACACAGCTCTTACTTTCTGAAGTCACTTAATATTTTTTTGATAAAACCAAGGTGAACTGTAATAGCACAGTATCTGCCAAATCAGCTTCATACTAGGTACAGTACCCTTTACAGTTTAAATGAGTATTAGGAAAATGTTCTGAATGGAACAAAATGGTATTTGCAGTGAGGGTTTGAGGTATGTCACCACCTACAAAGTCAGTAATGCCTCTGAGATGATCCACGGTATGTGTGTGAGAAAAAAATGGTAAGATGTACAGATTTATCTCATCAGATGCTCATGCTTCAAATGAATTATAATACAGCTATAAACCTCCCCCCCAAAAAATTGCTGAGCTACCTTCCTCAGAAGAAACCTTTTCGAAATAAGACTTTAATGGATTTTGTCTAAAATCTGTAGGGACAAAAGGGTTTGAAAAGGAGTCAGACTCATCACCCCTAGCTCTGGCTTACTATCTATAAAAAAACTTGTGAGTTCAAAGCGGCATGAGGCACTACCACTGTCTCTAGCGTTTGCAGGTTTTCTTCTCTACTGCGGAAGCTGTTTCTCTTTCTGGTTACTGCAAAAGAGCAAGCAGAGCAGGGAGGAAGCTGGCGGACAGACTGGCTGACAAAGAGGAAACTGCACGAAGCCAAGCCTACGCAGCGCTGTGCAAACACACGCGTTCTCAAAGTCCTGCAAACAGACCTGTGTGCCCTCATCAGTCCTCTGGTGTGTTACCGCACATCTCACAGCGTCTCTGGAGAAGCACAAGCTTCACATTCAGAGGATCTGCTTGAATCATTATATTCCTGTCTTCCATATTTCGAACTCTCAGTTGTTGCATAAAACTCTGCACAAAGCCCTATCCTTTCCTGATCTGCTTATCCTAAACGCAATATTTGAAATCTGAAGCCTATTAAAAGCACCAAGACTAATGTCGCTTTGTTCTTCAGCTTCCTGTTTAAAAAAAATAGTCAACAGGAAAATTACTACTTACAGCAGACCACAACCATCCTGTTTCTTAACACAGTCTTTTCACAGCTGCCGTTGTCTCTAGTGTAACTGTGCCATTAGGCTATTTCACCAAGCTTTAACTCCTTCAACTGATCAAAAAGAGAAATTCTGCTCTCTGCACTGCTTTGATAACAGGCCAAAGCAGTCTGGATAACGCGCCGTGAAGTCTCCTCAACACTCCATGTGCCACGGGAAAGTTTCTGGAGCAGGCAGAATAAAGTTTGGTTTGATATAAGACTTTTAAATGAATTCCTTAAGGCAGCTCAGACCTGAATGCAGAGGGCCAGCTGGTCTATGAAGAGCTTTCTCTAAAAAGCAGTGTTTTTTCAAATGCCATAACTTGTCTACCTCCCTGTCAGTTAAGCGTTCGCTTTCTGCATGCTTGTGTTGCTCTGTTCTACCTTTTTATTTTTTTCCCTTTTAAATGGGTTGTTTTAGATAGGCTTCTTAAGGAATTGGTGGGGATAGAGGGAAGCAGGATAACTAACATCTGAAGTCCAAGTTCTCTAAGGGGAAGCCACTATCCACAGACCCATCCAGCCTCTCAAAAGGTGGATAGTGGCTGGACACTGCACACATTATTTGCAAAGAGGTAAGAGAGAGAAAGGCACTGGGTGCCCTCTCTTTCCCTAGCCCATCTTGCAGAGGGATGACATCCTCTGACGTACCTTTCATCCCCAGCTGCACACTAGCTAGTACCTCTTCTGGTAGTGAAGGGCTTTCTTAATGAGACAGGAGTGGAAGTTAGGTACACAGCTGTACACTGATGAGCCTAGCATTTAGCTACTGCTGAACAAGTCCTGTAGCCCCCAGGGAAGTTACCAGGGGAGTCTGGAAAATGGTATTTTGGAATCACAGGACAAGGTTCTGTAATAGGCCAAACTCAGGCAGAACTGGCTTTAAGTTTAACCCAAGCATCCTGCAGAGTTGTTTGCTCATGATGTTCTAGAGTACACACGTCCTTTAGGAGCCATCAGAAAAGAGATCATATGGCATGACTCAGAAACCTGCATGCCCACACACAAAAGTATAATGCGCACACTTACAGAGCCAGTAAAACACCCCAGTTTGTCAAATTGTAACTTAAAACGTAAGTTATGACACTGCTTCACTCCTACTTTTGCCACACTGACTCTGCTCCTGATGCTGAGATCTTCAGAAACTTAAGCTGAAGCTTTGCCGCAAGAAATGGCACCTCTGTCTTTGAAGCTCTGACTCACCCTTGCTGTTTGGTTGTTAGATTTTGTACAGTCCATTTCTTTGTCTGATTTTTTGTAAGAAAAAAAAAAAAAAGTAGCTCTCTGGATTTTTAAATTTGATCACGATAAGCCTGTAGGAGGAATAATAATGTACTGAAGATATGCAGTGACCTGGGGGCTTGCCCCCCAGCACAGCATAGTGCTGGGGCTGACCCTTGTGTTGAGCAGCACCTCTTGGGCTGCACAAGCAAAACAGCTGAGTCAGCACAATGCTGAACTTGAATTCTGCAGCAGCACCGTTCATCACTAATTTGCAGGATCTGTTTTGCACAGAAATGTCCTAAAATGTTAAGTGTAACTCTGCAATTAGAGGAAAACAGATTACTATCCTACACTTGAGCAAGGGACTCAGTTCATTACTTGCTCTTGGTCAGTGGGAAAGAGCTGGATTTAAGAAACGGACATTATGTTTGATGGCTAACAGCGACACTATAAAATACCTGAAATAGTAACCGATGCGCCCAGTAATAAATGTTATCTACCAAACCTGGTGAACAACCAAGTTTCTTATAACACTTGCTGCTGCCAAGTGTTGAAAAGGAACCAATTCTGAAAGATGAAGGCATGTTGGTACTTTAAAACCCAGGACACGTGTCCTTGCCTATTTTCTAGGCAGTAGCGTAAATTGTCACAGCTTTTAAGAAGCTATATGGAAACATCACATCTAGATGAACATTGGTGGTGCAGCAGAAAGAATTACAGGAACAAACCTGCACACGTCCAGCACTGCGTCGGCCCCTAAGCCCCAAACACAAACGTCTGTACTGTCAGCCAGAGGAAGGTTTCCACAGCTGGTGGCAGTGGCATTTCAGATTTAATTTGGTACATTAGAAATAATTTCAGGAGCATTAGAAATGCTAAAAAAGAAATGTGACATTTAATATGTGCAAGAACTGGACTTCAAGTGCACCATTTGCATCTAGTCAGCCATTCTGAGCTGCCCCCTCTCAAACACATTGAGTCAGAGGCAGACAGACAGCTCGCTGTGGTTAATCATTTCCTGCATGATTAATTTCCAAGCAAAAAAAGAGGAAGGAACAAACAACTGCAAAAATAAAATAGAATTGATAGAACTTAAAGGGGACAAAACCCGAAGTTGCCAACTGAAATGCCAATTGGCCCTCTATGCAAAAAGACCTAACTTCCAAGCCAGTATTGATTTGGTTCTTTCAAAATGCATTACTAATGAAGGAAGGGAAAACTTTAAATAAAAAATCTGAATTTGAAGAAATTGGGCTAGGTTATCAAGTACTTTAGTAAGGTAGCTCTCAAAACAAGAATGGCAACTAACTGTCAACACATTACAAAGTAGCTGGAAAATCATTTAAAATCAGTTTCATACAGACCGCAGTATTTTTTCATGAGCTGTTTTTTTTTTTTTTTAAACAGAGTACAGAACTATTAAACTGTTTTGATAAAAAAATGCTACTGTGATGTGATGAAATTTTTTCTAGTTCCCTTGTTCCCACTCCCCTTGGTGGACCCGAATCATTAGTAAGTCTACACATCCCACCTTCCACCACTGTGTCCTCCAAAGGCCAGAGGGGCTGTCTGCACTGAGAGAGTCGGTGGGGGTGTGCAGCAGGGTGTGAATGAGAGCTTT